TTGGTACCTCGTTGTAGTGTTAAAAGTGAACTATTGTATTTCTTAGGCTAAAAGACCTGTTCATTTGTAGTAAGGTTACTACAAGCAATAAAGATGACAGTAACGAGGATTAAGTTGGTGCCGGAATTTAGCACCATTTTAGTATGCCGTCTTCAGTTTTCCTTCTACGTCAGGTACTATACCTCTTACACAAACAACGTACAAGGTTCTGCGGAATAGGAGGTGGCCCCGTTAAGGTCTTAGTCCTTTAGTCTAAGTTCCGCGAGTGAGTTGTACGTTGGCAGCGTTAATAGCTTTGATCCGTAACCTTTATATCCATCTGCGTTCGTGTCTGATCAATTGCTGCTTTCTTCGATCACATTCCATCATCCGGGGAAGGAGTACCTTGGTTTCATTTGTGATTTCATCTAAGCTGTTAGATTCAGATGACGATTGCAAAACACCATCACGATGGCCAAGCTGGTTGGTGAGTGTTGCTTCTTCCACTTGGTCGGGTATTTTTTTTAAACTTTCACCTTAAAATTCACCTGTCTATTGCTCAGCTGCACATGTTTTTGAAAATCCGCTGTTTTTTTCGGTTTTTGCACATTGGAACCAAACCTACACTAGTTTTCAGGTCAACGAAGTTCAGACTGTTTGTTCATGTCCAACTCATTGATATTTTAGCATACTTGCATTTGAATGACGTGCGAATATCTCACCATCATCTTCCATAGCCGCTTGTCCTTTCGAGTCGCGGAAGCAGAGGCGTCAGACAGTGCTTCCAACGTTCCCGATCCTCTGCCGGAACTCAGACTCTGGAGTCTGGAACAGACTCCATCCATATATTTGCACCGGGTTAATCTTGACCGCCCCCTGGGCCTTCTGCCAGTCGGTTTGGCAAGAAACAGTTGCTTAGCCTTCCTTTCTGGGGGGCATTAGTCACACGTGCCCAAACCGTCGCAGTTGTGACTTTTGAGCAGCATTTTTCTAGTTAATAGATTAAAGTCAGATTCATCAGTGCATTACAAGTCCTCAAACTCCGCTGAGCAGTAGTTCGGTTAAGTCATTCCCTCTGAGCAAACGGGTATTGACTCACCACATGAAACGTAGTTTATAAGATATTTTGCGTTTGCTGATTTACTCAGGCGTATGGGCCAAGACTTCTTTAAATATGTGTTTAAATGTACACTGATTTTTTTCGTCTGTTATGCTTTGTTATGATGCTGTTTGCTCCACATATAAATTTAATTGAATAAAATCCTGACATTTTGGAACTGCAAATGAGGTTGCTGACATTGTTTTTGCAGTTGTTGTGGCAGAATATTTCCCGAAGATGAATCCAGCTCAATTCGAAATGTCAGGATCTGTTTTTAATAAAAGTTATATGCGGAGAAGACCCTCAGAAATTTTGAAGATGCAAAACTTTCCACACAAACACGTAAACAATTGCAGTAATCTCTTTAACCTGTTCAGACTGCTAATAATTGATGACTGTTTGAGATAACCAAATGCGTATTTTTAGGACGGCCAAATACAATGCGGTAACCTTCTTGCCTCGTTTTCTGTTTGAACAGTTTCGACGATATGCCAATATTTTCTTCCTATTCATCGCCCTGCTTCAAGTACGTAAAAGAAACGAAATTCTGTCGAACACGTGTAGATTTTACATATGGTTCTTCAGCAAATTCCGGATGTTTCGCCAACCGGTCGATATACCACGGCGTTTCCATTGCTATGTATTTTGTCCGTGTCTGCCGTAAAGGAAATTATTGAGGATCTGGTAAGTTTATGTTTAAATAAATAGTTTTTTTACAATTAATTAGAATTTCCTAGAAGAGAAATGTTTCAAATACAGTGGTTCATGCATGTCTTAGATATTTGTCAGCGCATAGCTTGATGTTATTGTCTATCGTATTAAGAAGGTCACAACGACGGCTGACGACAGTTGCGGATAGCCACTAGGAGCAAGAGGTTGACCGAGTTAATTGTATCTACAATACTCTAATAGTATCATCGTTGTCATCTTTCTCTATTACCAGTTCAGATACGCGTCGTTAATAGTATCTGAGCCGGTATTTCGTGTTACGCGCTTTCCATCTCTTCACGG